AACGCGGTGTTTTAGGACCTCAGACCAGCTCTTTGTCTGTTATGGGGGGAGCCAGAAGGGAAGGGCTCTCTCAAAACAGCGGCTGTCTCACTGGATAGTGGACGCCATCGCTTTGGCTTACCAACAGCAAGGTCGACCGTGCCCCCTTGGTGTGACGGCCCACTCCACTCGGAGTATGGCTTCCTCTTGGGCTCTAGCGCATGGCGCCTCGCTAACAGACATTTGCAGAGCTGCAGGCTGGGCGACACCAAACACCTTCGCAAGATTCTATAATCTGCGAATAGAGCCAGTGTCCTCTCGCGTACTCGCTTCCGCCAGTACTGGACCCGCTTAGGTGTCTTCGCTTGCTCGCCATTCCACTCCTCGGACTGGATGAGTGCGATATTTCCTCAGTAGTCTTCCGTTGAAGCCTTGAGTCCTCCAGCAACTTCTGATGCGGGCACCACTGCTTTGCTCTGGATGCCGGCTAGGTGCCTCCGTGTGCACGGTTCCCTATGGTAACTGTCACATGTGTATTATCCACTGTATGCCTCTCTGAGCATGTGTCTTCCCTTGGCAAGCCATCTGCCACTCCTAGAGTTAAGTTTCTAGCCACCCTTAGGTTGGTGCTCCAGTGATCTCCATATGTAGTCCCTAACACGGCCATATGTATTCCTAAGTCCTCCCTACGGTAGGCATTTGGTAGCATGTCCCTCCCGGGATATGTTTCCCAGTGTACCTTGGTATTCCTGTGTCAAAGTAGGTAACTCCTGTTATAAGCTAAGATAGGAGTCCAGACTTTCGCAGGGCACTGGAAGACAGCTATGAAGATGGCGTGATGGCATAGACCTCCATTCTCCGTTTTTCAGACGTAACTCGGAGTGACTACGAAAGGGAACGTCTCGGTTACGGATGTAACCCTCGTTCCCTGAGTAGGGAACGGAGACGTTACGTCTCCTTGCCACTTCTGCTGTACCGCTGGGTAGACGCCGAGTTCAGTCTTGGCTCCTCAGCGAAGACATACTGCGGTTGCGTTCACTTCCTCCTTTTATACCGGAGGGTTTTTACACCGACTTTCAAGATGGCGCCAGGATGTTTGCCGGCTTGCCACAGTCTGTCCTTGTCTCTTTTATTTTTAATGTTTCTTGTTTGTTTTATCACGCGCTCTGTTTGCTCCCCTCTGGTATATGATCGCATGACGCTATTGAATATTCGATCGGCTGTGTCCGATTGTTTATTTAGTGATCTCAGAGATGATTGGCATCTGCACTCGTATTCCGTGCCAATCACATTAAGGAAAATGTGTTACCTGCCGGGATGTCTGTGCATGCGGAGGAAACGGCGAAAGAGGCGTGGGAAGCGTGCTGGAGTCCTTGCGAGATCAAAGAGGATCGGGAAGTTTCCAGTCATCGGACCTGCCTCTTCGATGGCGGAGGCCGTGGTCGTGAGCCTGAGATGTTCACACATTGTGCCTGTCTTCCCGTCTTCGTCGTTGATGCCTCAGTCATCGCGGATGGTGTACGTAAGGCGTAAGTCTGCGGATCGAGGAGCTGATCATCGAAATCTTCGCTCTCTATCACGTGACGGGAGTCCGGTAACATTTTGTGATTCCTCTCTGATTGTGAAATCCTCTTCCGATCCCACTCCAGTGACAATGGCGTTGATTAACGCGAGATCTCTGGCAAATAAGACCTTTATTTTGAACGATCTTTTTCTTTCTCAAGAAATTGATTTTTTATTTGTTACTGAGACCTGGCTTAATGCTGGTGAGATGACTTCTCTCTCTGAACTTTCTCCTCCTGGTTGCAGTTTTTTTAGTACCCCTAGGTCGGTTGGCCGGGGTGGGGGTCTTGCAGTTGTTTTTAAAGACAAGTTTAAGTGTAGACTTTCACCTTCTGAGTCTTATAGCACTTTTGAATCTCAGCTAATTACGCTGAATTCTTTTAAATCTGTGTTATGTGTACTGATTTACAGACCCCCTAACTTTCATGGGGGTTTTATACAGGAGTTCTCTGAACTTTTATCTGGGATTGTGCCTTCTTTTGACAATATTTTAATTTTGGGGGACTTTAATATACATGTGTGCTGCCCTTCAAAGCCCCTGGTCAAAGAATTTTTAAATTTATTAGAGTCGTTTGATTTTTTGCAACATGTTTTGGGTCCAACTCATGAACGTGGTCATACCCTTGACCTTGTATTATCTAAGGGATTCTTTGTTGATAGTGTGAAAATTGTCGATACTGTTTTTTCTGACCATAAGACATGTAAACACTAGCTTTCCTTGTGGTAGCTAGTAGTAGTTTTTCAGCTGCTTTTAATGTCTCTTCTTTTTTTTCATTGATTGAGTCACACTCTCCCTGCATAGGTGTAGAAGAGTTGGTTGATCAGTTTAACTCTTCTTGTTTAGAGATTTTAGATGTTGTGGCTCCGGTCAAAGTCAGGGGGAAAAAAGTCAAATCTCAGCCCTGGTTGAATAGTACTACCCGTGCTCTTAGGCAGGAGTGTAGGAGGGCTGAACGCAAATGGGTTAAAGATAAATTACAAGTTTCTTATGAAATTTTGAAGAACCGCTTGAATGAGTATCAAAGAGCTGTTAAATTGGCTAGATCAAATTATTTTTCTGACATCATCTCCAGAAACGGTAATAATTCTAGAGTACTTTTTTCAACTGTAAATGCTGTTCTTCATCCTACTGCTACTCCTTCATTCACTCCTTCTGCTAAGTTATGTGAAGAGTTCTTAAACTTTTTTATTGGTAAGGTTGAAGGAATTAGATCTCAGATTTCATCTGTTGCCAATGATTTTATCACTCATGTTGACCCTACGAACCAATTTACTAGTTTTATGCCTGTTTCTTTACAGCAGATAAATGATATAACTGCTCATATGAAGCCCACCAGGTCTCCTGGTGATGTGCTCCCTTCTTCTCTGTTTAAGAAGGTACTTGATTCAATTGGCCCGACCATTCTTTCTATTATGAATACTAGTTTGTCATCTGGTGTTGTTCCGGTTAGTTTTAAGCATGCGGTTATTCAGCCCCTTTTAAAAAGAAATGGCCTAGACTCCTTTGACATGAGTAGTTTTCGTCCAATTTCGAAATTACCTTTTATTTCAAAGATACTGGAAAAAATTGTGCATGCACAGCTAAATGACTATTTAATGAGGAATAATATTGCCGATAGATTCCAGTCAGGTTTTAGAGCTGGTCATAGTACAGAATCTGCTCTTTTGAGGGTCTCTAATGATATCCTACGAGGTGTTGATTCTGGAAACCGTGTTGTTTTGCTTTTGTTAGATCTTACAGCGGCTTTCGATACAGTGGATCATAACATTCTCATTAATCGTCTTAGGAATCAGGTTGGTATTCAGGGCTTAGCCCTGAAATGGTTCTCTTCATATTTAAAAGATAGGACCTTTTCAGTCAGTTTAGGGGAATATTTTTCTTCTGTTGCCCCTCTTGTGTGTGGGGTTCCACAGGGATCTATACTGGGACCTATTTTATTTTCCCTTTATATGCTCCCTCTAGGCTCGATTTTTGAGAAATTTGGGATTTAGTATCATCTGTATGCGGATGATTCTCAAATTTATTTACCATTGAAACATGGGCATAAATGTGCCATTCAGTCTTTCCATGCATGTTTGGCCGAAGTTAAGTGTTGGCTTGCGAATAACTTTCTCCAATTAAATGAGGATAAGACCGAGATGATTTTATTTGGAAATAAGGGGTGTGTGGATGATGATTGCCTGGGGTTGTTTCCTGGGAAAAAGCTGTCTAGTGTGAGGAACCTTGGTGTCATTTTTGACTCTGAGCTTAAATTTGACCGGCAAATCAATGCTGTCGTTAAGAATAGTTTTTTCCATCTTAGATCAATTGCTAAATTGAAATCTATCCTTACTTTTGATGATATGGAGAAGGTTGTTCATGCTTTTGTGTCATCCCGTTTGGATTACTGTAATGTTTTGTATCTGGGTGTGAGTCAGGCCTTTCTCTCCCGTCTGCAACTCGTTCAGAACTCAGCTGCCAGACTTTTAACAGGTACTAAGAAGAGAGAGCACATTACTCCGGTTTTAATTAAATTACACTGGTTACCCATAAGAGTTCAATACAAAGCATTGTTGTATGTTTTTAAGTCTCTGAATGGCCAATCACCTGAATATGTTACTGACTTAATTAGCCGCTGTCAATCCAGTAGATCTCTGCGCTCAAATGATCAATTGCTTCTCATGGTTCCGCGGTCCCGTTTGAAAGGTAAAGGTGATCGGGCCTTCTCTGTTGCGGCTCCTAGGCTCTGGAATGACCTTCCCCTGTCTGTGAAATCTTGTTCTTCTTTGGGTGTTTTTCAGAGTGCGCTTAAAACTTACTTGTTTTCTTTAGCATTTGATAATCCTTTGTAAGTTTTTTTTATGTCATGTGTTTGTATTGTTTTTTATTTCTTTATTTTACTTTCTATTTTATTCATTTTGTACAGCACTTTGGTTCCACTTGTGGTCTTGAAAGTGCTCTATAAATAAAGTTGAGTTGAGTTGAGTTGAGTTGAGTTGAGGGCGGAGTTACGCTATGCAAATTCCGCAGCCCCAAGGCATTTTCATGCCATTGGCTCGTTATTAAATAATCAAAGAGGATTGGCTTTCTATGCGAAACCCCATTCTCCGTCATTCCGACCTACTCAGGGAACGAGGGTTACATCCGTAACCGAGACGTTTCGTCATTAGAGTCAGAAACTGACACAACGAGAGTGAACCATATTGAAAGGCAACTAGTGAGCTGCAAAATTTGAAAACAGAAGTAACAAAGCTCAGCGCAAGTTGGGCATATTTTTGAAGTGTGAATGGGTGTGACTTATATGCATGATGTAAACATGATGTAAACCCAGCATAGATTTGTTCTGTGAGGTCCATTACCAATATAAACAAATTAGAATGGTATTGTTTATTTACTGTATGTCTTGGTTTAACCACAATGACAACTAGGATACTGAAGGATACTAAAATTGGAACCACATTTTGTTTGTCACTTTCAGGGACAGAGCTGGCTGATAATCTGCCCACTTCACCTCGCCTCATCAAAACTCATTTGCCTGTTCAGCTTGTGCCCAAGTCTTTCTGGGAGCAGAATTCAAGGGTAAAGTATATGGGCTCCTTTCACTCTGCGATGTGATGTAGGTGACAACATGTAATCAATCTATCATAGCATAATGTGAATCTGATACTACCAAACTTAAATGCACAACTTAGAAACATGATTTAAATGAAGGAATATTCATAGATGGGTGAACAATAAATGGAAAATACAGGAGATCTGGTGGATTTATACATTTTTCTGGCATGGTTTCCAGAAGTCCTTTTTAGATCAATAAAGTATTGTTGAGTAATCACCTTTATCCTTTGATTAAACATTTTCTATCCTGGTGTAAGTGGTCTTTTCCACGTTGACAATGAGGTCACGCGAGATAACATGAGGGCTCACTGAATCTTTGTACTCAGTTGGGAGCAGTGAACCCAGCATAGGGGCCCTATGGATTGAAACAGCTAAATTCCCTCTATTCAAGACGACATAAGTTGTCTAATTAAGTGAATGTAATGCAAATCTTGTTTCTAGTCATCATTTTTTTCCACTTATTTCAGATTGTGTATGTAGCTCGGAATGCAAAAGACAATGCAGTCTCCTATTTTCATTTTGATCGAATGAATATGGCAGAACCTGAACCAGGAGACTGGAACACCTTCTTACAGAAATTTATGGAGGGAAAGAGTAAGTAAAATATTTTGTACAGTAATTAAATTAAATCATATTAGTCAATTACAATGGGTATAACTAAAGAACCATTTTAGTCTTAGGAAATGATATTAAATTATTATATATTATTATATTAAAATATGTATACCTACAAAACCATTTGGAGAGAAAAAAGGTCAAATATATCTGCTTGATCTACATGAATCAAGAATTTTACAATTGACGAATTGTTTTAATATTCCCTAGATGTGTTTGGTTCTTGGTTCGACCATGTCAGTGGATGGTGGGAGAAAAAACAGACATATTCTAACTTACTCTACTTGTTCTATGAGGATTTGGTGGAAGTAAGTTCAGTTCATAATGTGACATTTTTATGAAGCATAAAATCAAAATGAAAGTTAAATGTGATTTCCAATGTCTTACTCAGGACACTGGACGTGAAGTGGAACGTTTGTGTTCCTTCTTGGGTTTGTCCACTTCAGTTGACGAGAGGGAGAAAATAACAAAAGGGGTTCAGTTTGATGCCATGAAACAGAACAAAATGACTAACTATTCCACTCTCCCAGTCATGGACTTCAAGATCTCACCCTTCATGCGGAAAGGTTAATAAACTACTGATCTAATTTAGACTTTTAAATAATGTCCTATTATTTGCTTTTATCTTTTCTTTGTTTGTGTTACAAAAGGTAAAGTTGGAGACTGGAAAGGAATCTTTACTGTGGCACAAAATGAACAGTTTGATGAAGTCTACAAAGAGAAGATGAAGAATACCACTGTCAAGTTCCGCACTGAGATATAATACTTCGAGTGTTTTTATACCTCTTGAAATAACATATTTATGTGATCTTTTTTATTTCTGTTTTTTTTCTAGTATGTAAAAGTCATGTGGGAAGTAAGATAACTGGTGCTTGGGAAGTAAAATAATGTGGAAAGTAAGATGTGGGAAAACTGACCCTTCAATTACAAGGCTTTTATATAGTACAGTACTGTATGTTGGTGATAACACTTTCTGTTTTATTCAAAAGCAAACTTGACTACAAAAATACATAGAGACATGAATAAAGATACGTGGGACTACCACATTCTGGCATAACTAGCTGGGGCTGCACAGCATTACTCCACCTTCATAAATCATCTCTTTAAATGCTGAAAGTATGCTTGACAGTATACCATATACAGTAAATGTGTGGGGTTTGAGGATCATTTGATCAATAAAATTACAGCAGGTGTAAGTACCATGCAAACAGTTAATTCAGACTTTTTTAAAGCTGAAATGAAAGATAATAATTTCATTAAAAAATATGTACAAGACCATATAGTGCCTGGTTATTATGTGATGCAGTTTATTTTCTACTATGGCACTTATTTCTCTTTTTAATGAATGAAAACTATACAAATGTTAATATGCATTTGTCTATGCATCTGTCATTGACTGACAATAGTGTATTTTCAGGGATCAGTTAGTATTCTTGCAGTAGGAAAGATTGTCATTCACAGTAAATGCATTGCATGTAACCACAATACACCATTATTTACAAACAAAAATATAATCTGTTTTAGTTATACTCACAGCTTTCTATCATTTATTGCTCAGACATGAGTTCTACTGTATTGTATAAAGTAATGACGAGTTGAGCATCCACCTGTTTTGAAATTTGGCTAAACTGCTGAATACACCAACATAGTTTTGGTCTGCTGTTCTGTCAGTTGCCTAGTCATTAAAATGATTTTACTACACATAAGTCCAGTTGTGGGAATAGTTTTGCATGTTTTCGGTACGCTGTATTGCGGGAATAAACTGGAAGTACAAAGCATGGGCAAGAATGTCAACATGTTCTGGAACATACAGTATAAATTCTATTTAAATGCAGTGAAAAAAAAGGAAGAAAAAAACTCAGGTCTTCATAATGCTTAGTAGCACTTGGTCTATGGGACAAGGCACTGCAACAGCATAAACATTAACATACTCACTACTGCACAATTATAGCCACAAGACCTACATTTCAGAAGTAATGACCAGAGACTAGTAACTCTTTGTGAAATCTTTTACATGGAGACACCCCACCAACAGAAATTACACAAATAACACATTATTAGAAGTTAATTTGCCTATAATAGTGGTCTTACCACTAAAAAGACAATTAGGAAAATTTCCAGAGCAAATAAAAATAATTTCATACAAAAACATTTATAATTGTGAAAACATAATACACACCTCTAGAATGCCTTGCCTCATAGACTTCTATTGTATGTACAAAACTGTAAACAAGACTTCAGAAGAAGAAAAAAATCAGAAGTAAATATTATCAGTGTTGATCGCACTTCACATTTCACTCCAATCACTAAAATCTGATCCAATGAATGGTATTCTCTTCCCCTTTATGTACCATTATACTACAATTAGACTCCATTCATCTGAGCAAGTCATGATTATATATGTAATCTCAGATTTTTGGAGAATGTAAATGCTTTTTAACCTGGAGTTGTTGTGTGCCACATCATGTTCAAAGGTCAATAATGTCACTGCCACCACTGGCTGAGTCATCATTTCGCGTGACTTTCAAATATCTATGTGCCCCTTTACAATTTGATTGTGAGCTTTCAAGGTCAGGGGTTAGAAAAAGCCTTGTGTTTTCTGGACTGGGTACAAGGGTATGGCTTGTGCTTGGGGAAGGGTGCAGTGAGACCGGGCAGGACAAAGAGGAAGGCACTGGTGCCTCAGAGACCCAACGGAAGCCCTGATGAGTCGGTGTAGGGGGAGCTGTGACCTGTCGGCTGGGCACAGCACTAGGAATGGAGCGATCCAGACCTGTAGAAGACTCAGTGAGCAACGTGTGTGATGAACTGCTCGATGACAGTGTTATTTGGGGGTCACTATTCCGTCGCATCCACGGGTTTGGAAATGGAGGAGGTGAAAGTGGTCGTAGTGGATAGAATAAACTTTCGCCCCCTAACAAATGCTCACGATGAAGTGCCTCATCAATACTGCGGCCAAGGTCAATTGGGGTTGGAGGGCGCAGGTCAAAATCGCAGAGTGAGAAAGCGGACTCCTTTTCCCTGTCCAGACTGCTACTTGAAGAGCATTGAGGTGGATGGGCATGTGGCTGCACCCTTAGCAATGAACCAGCAGAGCCCCCTGCAAAGCTTTTCAGATTGCTGTCTTTGAGTGGATCCTGATTTCGTAGGCTCTTGCTAATATCTGCCCCTGATCGCTCCTGTCCAGCCCAGTTATTGGGCAACTCTCCAGCCACTGCACTACTACTGGACCCTCCAATTCCATTGCTTTCAGATTTCCTTTGCTGCCTTACTTTGAGGCTCTGCACAATCTTTGCCCAGCATGTATGTCTGCTTGTAGAGTTTGATGGTTGAGAGGGTGAGGGCAAACTTTCTGTGGCAGCCCCTTCCTGTCTTGGTGCTCCACATATGTGGCCTCCATTGGGTCTCCAGAAGACCCAGGAAGACACCAAAAGCAGGCAGAAAGCCCAAACAAGCTCCAACAGTCGTACCCAGAACTGACAGAGCCACCATGCCCAACGGAAGCGCCTCCAGTCTCCTAGTAGTCCATATAGCCACATGCAGGAATAAATATGCAAAAGACAGCACAGTGCCCCAAGAAGAGCGCATACTGCCAGCACCCATGCTAAAACCCTCCCTTTTTCTTCCCCTATTGCCTTATTTCTTCCCCGAGCTGCATTTGTGTGAGAGAGGCGTGGCAGTGCAAAGAAAAGGTAGCCTAAACACAGTGTCAGGCCTGCAGTCAGTGTGAGGCTCTGTAGGACGATGGGAACAGCAGGTGAAAGTGCAGGGGAAAGTAAGTCTGCAGCAAGTAGGAGAGTGCATTGTAAAACAGCTAATACTCCTAAAAGAGGGGGGTGCTGAAGTGTTGGTGGTAGCCAAGTTACTCCTGCCTTTTTTAGTACCAATATCACTAATGCAGCCTGTGCCAAAATTAACAGTGGTAACGGCAGCGTGTATAAAGCTATTATTACAGGAGGTGGCAGGAGGAACCGTGTCCCATATGGGTCAAGCAAAAAGTGGCCAGCTCTAACCACACCCACAACTAGCAAGAGGCTATTGGCAAGTATCAGTTCACCACAGTGGGGGCAATTCAAGCTGGGAGCTAACACTAAGCCAAGAACAGAGCCAACAGTAAGCAGAAGGAAGAGGGCAGCAGAACCAAATACATGCAGCTCCCATGCAAATGACAGTGTGCGTTTTAAGTCTGCCCATACTAAAAAGCTGCCATTTGTTGCACCATATTTGTCATCATTGTTTTGAGCTTTGGAAAAAACACAGGGGCCCACAACAGTGCCACACGGGTCCTTGGGTTGGGCACGGGTTGGAGAGGCAGGGTTTGACTTCAAAGATGGAACTATTCCCTGTGAGACTGCCTGGTCCGTCTCTGTAACTCTTCTATCATTTTTAGAGAATACAAAATGGCCATGTCCAGTCAGGCGAGGGGAGGTTGTACTTGTTCTTAGAAAAGGTGATATACCTGTAGAATCAAAAGAGGTACAGGAAATATTATTGAGGTAACTGGCAAAACACAAACAATAGGAAAGCATGTAACTACTTACAACACATTCAACAATATAAAAAATATATAATATAAAAATCGTATAATATAAAATCCTTTTGCAGTTTGTACATTTTACAAACTGATTTCTAATTAAAATGAATGCTCATAAAAATACAGCTGGAATACACTATATAACTTTTAAAATATGAATATGTTTTTAAAGAATATAAATCACACATTTGAACTTTGTAAATAGTTACAGAGGAAAAACTGGGAATTATACAATCAATGACAGATTGTAGAATGATTCTGTGTCTATAACACTACATTATTTTCAAAATCAATCATATCTGACTGCTCAATCAGGCTTTGCTATGACTTTCAGCAATTTGCATGGGCAAAAAGTCATTTAGTGTATTCTGGCCTTTATTTGACTTAAAAATATGTAAGTCTGTTATAATGTAAAGCAGTTATGAACTGTTACCTATGTATCCATAAACATTCTCATGCCAAGAAACCATAATAAACTTCATACACACAAAATCAGTCTGAACATTTGTACTAAAAACATACTGTCGAAACACACACTTGTACATGTTATCACAGACAGCATCTTTCATAACTTGTTGGTCATTGGTTAGAAAAAAAAAATCATATTAGTCCAAATTTAAAAGGGACAAACGAGTTTATGACAAGTGCAGATTTCCACTCTTACGAATAAGTTTAGTGGTTCTTTTAAGCAACTTAGATTCAGCAGCTCTCAAATTCAAAAGTTAAAGAAAAATTTACATTCACTGTGTTTTTGAGCTGGTAATATTATTTTACAGATTAAAAATTCTTGATGTTACCTTGATGTTATTCTTGTCACAATCACAGAAGGGAACAGAGATGGTAAGGTGAAATTATTTATTTAAGTAAAAACAGAGTAATGAGACAACAACGGGAATCAGACGATGGTGAAAGGATGGTGAACTTATGATATGTGATGAAGACTTGCGAAGCTGGCAATGACTGAAGTGGAAACTCTGTGCAGGTGAAGAAGGAAGATGTTGACTGGAGATCTGGATGACAAACAGGAGACTTGAAAGGAAGATCTCAGATGTTCAGGTAAAGAGTCTGTTTACGTAACAGTGACGTTGATGAGATCAGACACAGATGTGAGGGTGATGCAGGCTGTGGTGATGAGTGCAGGTGCAGGGAATCAGTATCTGGTGATGATCAGCAGCAGGTATGGTGATGGCTGACTGAGTGCAGGTGGGGATGATGGGAAGTGTAGTGCAGACAGGTTACAGAGTTGGTGACTGAGTTGATGACTGTGAAAATACTTCCCCATCCCGGAAAGCATTACCTTGCGCAACAAATGGTCCAGTAGAAGGATCATGATCCATGGTGAAGCCAGTGGAGGGAGGAGCCATGGAGGCTGAAGGGCTGAGGACTTCGGGGTGGCGAGTGACAGATGCAGAACCAGTGGGAGAGGGTGACAGGGTAGAGACGGAGATCTGACCGGCCATGGTGAGACTGAGGATTCAGAGGGACATGAAGCCAATGACTCTGGTAACTGAGGTGAAGGCGGGGACTCAGAAGGGCGCGAAGGAGACAGAGGACCAAGGAGGAGCTGAAGAGAGTAAGGAGTCCAATGGAGTCTGGAGGATGAGGCAGAGACAGAGGAGTGCAGTCCAGAGTTGAGGACGGGTCGATGAACCATGGTGAATCTAGGGGGATGAGGGAGCCTGGTGAAGCTGGAGCACTGATGGGCCACGGTGGAGACGAGGGAGGTAGGAACCAAGGGTGA